GGCGAAAAACCGCTCTTTATATACTGTTCGGGCGTAATTCCCCTACAGCCGCTGGCATTTTGAGATTTCGTCATCCATCGTTTTTTGAGACATGGTAGGGGCCATCTTCATATGATTAACATTGTATTCAAAAGGAATGTTTCTGGGCAATGTATTTCCTATTTCCCCAGGTGCGGGAGAAGTTTTTGAAAAAGAGACGGGACGTGCGCACATTGGCCTCTCTCTAATTAATGTTCTTCTAATGTCAAAAGTGACATGTTTACGCATCTCTCTGACGTTCATGGTCCATAAATTTGACACCTCCTTTGACGATGGATAACTATTGTTCATGGGAAGCCTCGCATGTCAAATGGAGTGGATCCTTTGAAGCTAGAGATTACCCTTATTTCGACAACAAGAAATCATCTGGTGAATTGTGCCGATTCCTGGACCTCATAATACCTCATAACTTTCGTTAGGTATGGGGCGCAGGTGACGTCATGGTCCCGGTCAACCCCCTGTAACCAATGGGGGAGAGGCACTCGGGGCAGATGTACCCCCCTATTGGCCTGCCTTTTCTTTTGTCGATATCGGCAAACCCGTGGCTGAGGTGGTCCATCTCTAAATTGCCGACAGTTTTAACTCTTTGGGGCAGCTCCCATCTGCGGGTAACATTGGAGGGTTGTGTAAGTTATTGGCCCCCAAATTCAATAGAGTGAAAAGGATATCCTTAGTTGTGCTTTGGAGCAATTGTGTGGCTTCTTTTTATGTGATTCGTGGTCTCCAGGTGTTGTCGCCTTGATGGTCACTCCTTAACGCCTCTCAGGCCATTATGACGGCCACTTGAATTCATGCCAGGTGGTCCCTTTTATTGTGGTTACTTCGCATAATCGGCATTCAGGCCGGTCAGACCGACATTCGTTGCTATTGTATGGGATTTTCCAAAGCCCTCCTTTTTTGTGGTTACACCAAGTTTTCCGAATATATATAATGTTGGAATATTTGAGTACAGTTCTTTCATTGTCCTACAAAAATTACTTGACACCGTCCTAAACATTCTGGAAAAACAGCTCTACTAAGGAACTAATTTACGATCGGTTGTACTCCGAACCCGAGACTGATTTAATCCTAAACATATGCTGAAATTTCAACAAAGGACTGTGTCCTTTTGAGTCATAAAATTGTTTTTCGGTTTATTCTTTTCCCTGAGAGAGTTTTTCCCTTTTAAATAGTTTTTAGTCTCTGGACAACGGTCCTCAAGTTAAGACGTGCCTTCCTCGTGCTAATAAAGAATATTCGATAAAGTATTCCACTGTGTCTTCGGTTTTATTTGTTTGCTTATACCCATATTCCAATAGATAAAAATATTAACAGTAGTAACTGCGGCGTCCGCAACAGGCATATATTATCCAAAACATAGAGGATGTAACTTAATAAGTGTAATATCTCCCGACCGCGAGTTCCATCCTGAACACTAGAAAAATAAGAAAAAAAAATTTACTGGACCCATTTTAAATAATTAAAAATTAACGAGGGCCAATGAGAGGGCTTAGTTATAGCACGTAAGTGTGAGTGGTAGAAGTCGACTGAGATGAGACAACAGCGCGAGAGACACGTTGAAAAATGAGAGAGGTAGTTGAGTACCACTGCTCTGCCGTGAATTTCGGGCCGATACGCATCTAGCATAGAGTAACAAGTTGCATAAGCCTTGTTCAAAATCCTCTATGTATTCCGTTTAAGAATTCTAGAGGAATTTTTTAGTTTTTTAAGCGGGATTCCTTAGGCAATCCTTAGGATTTTCAGAGGGATTCCTCGGGATTTGGAGAGAATTACTCATAATTTCCTAAGGAATTCATCTGGAATTCCTAAGGAATCATTCTGAAATTCCTCAGAAATCCCTCTGGAATTCCTAACGAATCATTCTGAAATTCCTAAGGAATCCTTCTGGAATAAACATAACAGGTAACCATCGAAGGAAACATTATTTTTATGGTTGGATTTGACAGTTAGGAAGACCCATGCATGTTGTTACTCTATGCTAAATACATGTCGGCCCGAAATTCACGGCAGAGCAGTGGTACTCAACTATCCTCTCATTTTCCGACGTCTCCCACACGCTATTGTCATATCTTAGTCGACCTTTACTGCTCACACTTACGCGCCATAACTCAGCCCTCTCATTGGCCGTTGTTAATTTTTAATTATTTTAAATTGCTGAAGTAAATTTTTTTTTCCTAATTTTCTAGAGTTCAGGAGGGGTCCCTGAACTAGTGGTCGGGAGGTCTTACACTTATTATGTTACACCCTGTATAATGTCGAGTCAGACAATGTTAGTGTTGAAGCATAAATTAACCCAAATATTTGTGGATTAAGTTCACATATATTCGTCATAATCATAAGTGATCCATAATGGATCACTGGGGTGCAGTGTTAACCCTTCGCACCATCAACGGCTATGGTCTTTACTTACACCTGGGACGTCACCCCATACTTCTCCAGGTGTAAAACAAAGAGAAAACATTTGTTGCAATCTCATCCACGATGAAATATAAACTCGTGAATTCGTTGCTACTGGATCAGTCAGTAAGTTAGTAGATTCGTCAGACCCAGTCAATTAGTAATACGACGATTCGTTAAGTCATCTTCTTTTAACTTATAATGCCTACGGGATCAGACAAAGACTTTATTTATTTCAATAAATCATTTAATCACTAAAGCAGTGGATTCTCCCTTAGAGATATTCATTTCTAATTATCTATGGGTGATACATCCCTATCAACGTACCCGTCCGCTCGGGTTCACTACATTGTGTGCATTACCTACGTTGATTGCGAAACCCGTGACGTCTCAAGTTTTTTCCAATAACTTATCCCGTAATCGAACGCTCGATTCTGAGAAACTCACCTCTTTCAATTCTCAGTTGCGATCGTGTTTGACACTCTCATAGACTGCTTCTCCCAAGACTTATCACTTCCTTTATGGATTGTATCCTCTATTTCTTCGCCAAATATTGCAATTTCGGCTGGTATTCGCACGGATTTCTATGGTTCTCCAAGCCTGTTACCGAGGCAATTAACTTAACGTTGCGCTGAGAGATCGCGTGAGGGATGGGCATGCTAGTCATCAACTGGCGTATGATTGTGTGGACAGGTTAGAATCTTGAAATCATCGGTATATGATTTGATTCGACTTCACTTTAGCATAGTTTCCCAGTGAATTCCGCTTCGTTGTCACTCAAATCAATCGTGAATTCCTCATATTACCAACGTCATCGTTTTGATCGCATAAGTCCATATCAGCGCATGAGAGAATTTCTATTTCAAATATGGCCCGTTCTCCTGCTTACATACGGGGCATCTGCTCAGTAATATTTAGCAGCTAACAGACCGCCATCAGTGTGCTCTCTCAGTTTTCGCCCCTTTCGCTTCCACAGAGTCATAGAGGCCCCTTCGATATCGAAGCTCGATATTTAGCCTTTTCAAGAATTTAGATACCGAAGCCCGGATACTGAATGCGTTTTTACTGTACCTACGAATGTATACATATGTATAACATTTTTTTGCTACTTTCCTCCGTATAAGCTCCACAAAATTTCATGACCGTTTCAATGAGCTTATTTTGTGAGACGCCTGGTTCGATGGGAATATGAACGGATTGAGCAAGATATTGGCGGCTTACAGGAGATGATGAAATCACACTACACGTGTTGTTTTCAAATGTCACCAAAGTCAATTATTCATTGATAAATAGGTCAAGGAGCTGAACACAATTAAGTACACAGTAACTGAGCGGGTCACAACAAGTCGAAAAAATAGGTTTCCGAAGAGAAGACACGCAATGCGGTTATCTGAGAAATACGCGTATACACACTTTGATAGCGACTATGCAAATGCGAGAAAGTAAAGGGTCACACGGTGGCAAGTGCTCTAATTTCGGACATCCCATGACCTAAATATATTATCTGTATCGGATAAAACCGAGCTGCCTAGAATGTCGCGCCTCACGTCAAAAGTATGACTATTGGTCACCTGAGCTGAGCGGTGAACGCTGCGTCTAACTGAGTATCGGCACAACGTTGGGTGAGCAGTACCTGTGGGTTTGTGTCGGCTTGACAGGATTTCCAAGAGAACTCTCTCTATTGATCCAAATCAAATCTAATTTTATCAGATGCTTCGGTAGATATTGATAGTTTTTATGAACTTGATTTGTCAAAGATTTTTTAGAAAGTTGCTATCGATAGCCTCTTAATTATATCACATTTTCATGGGATATAAAAAAAAACAAAGAATAATTTCCATAAGGTTATGCAAACTATATGCAAATTTTTCGTCACTCTATGCGGTCAGTTGGAATATTTATGCATAGAAGATTCTCGGGAAATTGTATTATTCGTTGTCCAATTGTGGCTTTAACATGTTCCACATTATTGTTTTCCGCTTTTCGACGCCGTTATCATACACTGGAAACTATTCAACTTATACCAATTCAATCAAGATGGGACGAATTCATTCTGATATTATATCATTACCATTCATTAAACGAAATAATAACGAATAGAATTTTTACATAGAAAAGGAAATCAATAAGTTGTGATCTCATTGATTATCACAGTGGTGAGATATTTTTACATATTTAATCATTATCTACATTGAGTTTCAAACTAATCATAGGTTCATTTAGATGATGTCTGATTTAGCGCGCTGAGCAATTGGTGAACTTGATGAAATTTTTATTACGAAGCCGTTTTCATTGGAATGCATTCAAATAAATGTATTTCTGAAGGATCAAACTCATTTCGAACATAATCGAATGAATATAATTCTAAAAATAATCATAATTATGCATTCCGAAATATAATGTTTATGCGTTAGCAATAATTATGATATGAAAACCAAATATATAGAGTGCGACACGGGTATTTTTCAAGCATGAAAAATTCAACCCAGAATATCACAAGCGCTTGAGCTTTCCCGATTCCCGACAGAGAATAATCTGCTTTTAATATTATATTTCTTTTTCAGTCAAACTCAGCATCCCCTTGTCCAGTCGGAAGTCCTCCAGTCATCGTCCCCTTATCGCTGACCGCACGGTCTGAGGATCAACGTCTAATGATTCCAACTTCAACCCCAACTTCTGCAACAACAACGTCAGCTCCGTCGATGAAACCGGAGGACGATACGGCAACAAGGGTATCATCTGGTTCTGACGACGAGGATTCACCAGGTGGTGTGCCAACTACTCCACTACCGCCTGGGTTTTCACTGGTTCCCAGCCCAATGTTTGGTCACTCCATCATGTATATGTCACATTATCTGCCCACCAGGAGTGGACCCGTGGGGTGCCCAGCCAGTATGTTGGATGAAAGACGAAAACGTAATCGCACATTTATCGATCCCGTTACGGAAGTTCCGCGACTGGAGAATTGGTTCGGACATAATACTCATCCCAGTCATGCGGTAATAACTATTAGTTGAATTAACTGAACATTATCTAGAAAATTAAGAGCCATCGTTTAAAATGGAATTCCCCTGAAGAGCTTAAAAATGATTGCTTACTTCTCGAACGTTACGTGGCTCGGTCCTAAAAAACCACTAAACCCAGTTTTTTTCTCTTACGTCGCAATAATTCCTTATTGATTATGAAAATTGAATGGAATATCTGTCTAATAATAAGTTTTTACCGAAATGCTACAAATATATCACATTAATTCTGTTTCAGTTAATCTTAAAATACACAGAAGAGTTGAATCGCATGCCGTACCGTCAGAAATTCCCTCGTTTGGAACCGAAAAACGTGCAATTTTGGTTTAAGAACCGACGCGCTAAGTGTAAGCGTCTGAAAATGGCACTATTTGAGGGTGAATCGCCGCAACCTCATCCCTACGCTCATGCAGACTAGTCATCAGTGGCATTGTCACAACTATTAAGGCATTGCTTCACAAGAAACATTCCTGTAGCCACGATACATGGTGCTTGCCTCTATCACAATTAGAGGATATAACCATAACAAATAGAAGATAACCACAATACGCGTTGGAAAAAGTGAGATTGGAGAGTAATTTTGCTCCCATAGGTAACTAGTCCTATCAAGAATCACGAGGAAATAATCAATACATCGAACAAAAAAGATGTAAAACGACTTGATACGCCAATAAATGTGGGACTTCGAAAGGCTGTCCTTTATTTGTAATTTTAATTGATAGTACCCAAATGTTATGATCAAATATTATTGTCGTTATTAGATTTAAATGAATAGCTGGATGATTACTCTATTATTATAATAATTATTACTATCGCTGCTGATATGCTTAAATGTAAATAATCCAGCAGAAAAATGATAATGAATAAAACAGTAAACACCAATATAGATTTTCGAGATCGAGGATGTAGTACTTTCTTTGACATGCCGATGTCTGCAGAACTTTCAGAGTCAATCAAAATTTTTCGCTGGCTCCACTCTGAACTTCTTTTTCGATAGGAAAACATCAAAAATCATCAGCAGAACCAGAGGATTAGGTGAAAATAAAATTTACAATAATTAGGTGTATTGATTATTTCTATTTCAAACTTTTTCAGATCCACGTATTTTCTCTTTGAGGTATAACGTGCTGTAAATAAATATCTTTAGGATCGGAGCTGAGTCGATATTGATGAATTTAACTTCTGTGTCATCTCCCTTATTTTTGTGGATGATCATGTTGCTGTGCGGGTACGCCTCACTTCGCTCTTCAAAAAGCAATTAATTTATAATTAAATAAATAATATAAATGGGTGTTTTTGAATAAATTCAGCATGTGGTGAAACACCTTTGTGAAAAGTTTCAAACCTCACCAGCAGTTACCTTGACGCTACTGGTATGAAGCCCAACAAAGGTCGATTGGTCCGATCTACGGCCTCCAGGTATATATCTAATTGAGTCCGATTCAATTTTTTTTTCCATTGTATTTAATAGCTACGCGATCAAACGCGCGCCATTTGATGCCATTGTGTTGATGATGACATAGACAATTGACTACTAAGAAATTAGTTTTATTCGGAATGGCCAACGCGAAATTGGTCAACGCGTGAAAATAGTATATTATGCACCCCCCGGGAGAAAATACTTTTCTACCGTGGTGCATATGCTATGGTATGGCTCAAGGTATAAAAATCGCGATCGGACCGAGCGAAGCGAGCTTAGAATTGCGCTTTTTCTCCCGCTAGAATAGAAATCTTACGTATGAAGTTAGCCGAAATCTTATTCCCGACAACTCAATGTTGATGTATCACCTTTTATAGATAGGATTAAGCTTAATAATACCTCACACAATTGTGGGAATTAAACGGAGCAATAGTACTTTGTAATGATCAAATTTGCCGACTCCAGAAGGACCTGAAAGAAGTAATGGAAGAGAATAGCAGAAAAAGGGGTAGGCATCAAGGTCACCACTGAGTTGAAGTTCTCCTGAATATAATCGTTGTTGATGATTTTATAAAATTCGCTGCTGGTTCAATTAACAATTCGAATATAATCCGACTCTCGGGCAGTTTAACCAACTAATTAATAGTTACGGATTTCTGTTTGGTCCAACTAAAGGAGAATTGAAGAAAAAAATCAAATTATAAGTATATTTGGAGCTTCGATTCCTGTCTAGGAATAAAAAAAAATAAATGAAAAAGGAGGTACAAATTTCCAACATTGAAGAAAGCTGCTAAAGAAATTTCGGACTTCTGCGAAATTCTATCGGAAAAATCTGAGGCTATTGTTATTGTATCCTATTCTCTATACTCAGCTCAGTCTGTCGTTTCTTCCTTTCCGTCAATGGCCATAGTCAGTCAAATTTATTTGGAACCCAATATTAATATCTTCGTTTTCAGCCATGAGTCACCTTATCGTCTATAGACGAATCTTACCCTGGTGGCTGCCGCCCTTATCAGGGAGGCATACAGGAGAAACAAAATTTCGGACAATTCTTACAAAATAAGAATATCTCCTTTAAGTGAATCGTGGGACAAACAATATGGGGCAACAATTGAAAAATGGTGCTTTTTTGCCCAAAAGAAAATGGAGCGTTATTTTAAAACTCTCCCCAAACGGTGCTGAGTTTTTTGATAAACGAATTTGTGAGAGGATCAAAATACAACAACTGGGAAAGGTACCGCTTTGTATTGCTCACTCTATTGTATCGTCTAGATCGAAAAAAAAAATTCGTTTGTGGAAGGTTTCTCCAAGAACTTCCGCGAAGACTGGTCCCTTACTCTATAACTATAACTGTCCGTGGTATCCTCTAATTATTTTAAACCATCTAAGTTGTAACGGGATTTTTGGAAATCCCGCACATTAAACTAAACTTTGGGTTACGTTCTCTAAAAATCCTGCCACCTCGACCCTCTCCCGGGAATTCCTCGAATCGTCGAAGGGTGTGGGGACTGGGGCCCGAGTGCTTAGGGTGTTAGGAGGCCTGAAGACAGGCAACAGCACAGGGCGGACACGTGGAAACATTCCCAGCTCCCCTATGAGACTTGCTGGCACATAGCATAGGACTCATACCGGCGTATGAGCGCTCCATGTTAGATGGGGTAGGCATTCGGACGGCTGATCCTTCGAAGGGGTTGTTCGAAGGGGTCAGTGGCGACGTTCGAATTCGGCGCGCTCCAGGAGAAGCTAGTGTCAGGGATATCCTCCCTGCGACGAGGGCAGCACGTCCCGGCACACGGCAGTTCACCCAGCCGCAGTCGAGAGTGGGGAGGCATCGGCACTACTGCCGACACTGTCCACTGACTCGGCAGAGCCGCTTCGGCTGGCTCCCAGTGCGGACCACTGGCAGCTCTCTCTCGAGCCCTTAGCTGGCTCCCAATGCCCTGCATTGGTCTTCTACGCTCTCTAGGTGAGGGTTATCCTCTCCCCGGGAGCACTCTCTGAGTGAGGGCAATACCCTCCTCGGGTGGTGTTCTCTAGGTGAGAGTCATGTCCTCCCTGGTGATGTTCTCCGGGTGAGAGTCATCCTCTCCCCAGTTCAGCTCTCTATATCTGGGGCTACCCTAGTGGTCCCGCCACGCTCTCGCTAGCGTGCAATTGGGTTACTTCCCACGCTTTCGGCCTACCGGCACTACGCTATCTGACATCGCGCTCTCGGCGAGGTAGTCCTAAAGGTCGCCCTCCGCACCTCGGATTCCCGCAAGTAGACTCTCGGTATCCCGAACCGCTGTCTGTTCTCTTTCGGTTACGGTTACTAGATCGCGTATCGGTGAACCCCGGCCCTCTCTCCACGACCTAGCATCCTGAGCAACCCAGGCCTTCCCGCTTCCGTTCCATTCGTCATCGGCTTCTAGCTTCCCGCGGGTAGTGTTACGGTAATGAGGTTATCGTCTTAATTCTGGGAGTACGGACTCCCCGGTTTTGGATTTATGGATTTACGGATTTTGTGTTGTCGCGAGGACGAGTTGCAACCCCCCTCGTCCTGTCCTTTCGTGCTCTTGTTTTCGGATATTTCGGGATATTTGGTTTTATGAGGTTGGACGACCTCGGGCAAGGCAGGGCACCCCCCCTCGCCTTGGTTCGTTCGGTTTTCGTTAGCTTTTGGTCCACAAAAAGCTAGCTGGCGCCCGCAGTAATTCGGTTGAAATTTAGGATGCGAGCACGGGAACGGGCGAAGGTAATAACTATCGCCGATCTTCGGGACGAGATCGGGAAAAGTGTTACAAAGTACTTGCTGAAAACTCATCAAAAAACTCACGGCACTTCGAGTCCTGGTTACTGGTTATCGTATGCAACTCTTGTCGTTTATTCGTTTAGACAATATCACTTACGTAAACTGTGGATTTGAGAGAAAAAATTGCTACTGAAATTAAAACCGCGGGAATTGGTAGATTAGAGCCACCTTTGAAACTTCTCACTCATGAAGGCCAGTCGATATGTTCCGCTCTCACATATTATTTAAGTATCTTTCACATATTATTTACAAATACCAGGAGCATTTATGTGAGATCAGAAAAAAACCTTGATGTGATATCAACAACCCCGCAACTCAGTTTTTGGATCCTCGAATAGAATCTCTGAATAGCAAGGAAAGTTAATTGTTATGTTTCTTTAAAACTATAATGAGTTACATTACGACTTTTAATAAAGCGTGTTCTGTATTTATAACCATAACCGATTTCTGAAAGTCTACATACTCGATCCTGAAGGAAGAGGAGAGAATATAATTATGGTTGAGCTTCACTCGCAGGTAAGTTCTTTTAATCTTACAATTATCTTATGAGTAATCACTAATAGATTTCATTTTCGTTCATTTTTCCAACATTATTGTCAGTATTGTAATTGATATATTAACATTACTTCCCAGTCCATAATGAGTGTTGAATGATTCGTATAGAAGAAAATGACTGGGGTTTTTCTCTTTGATAAGAAAGCTAAAGGGAAGAATTTAATGATAGTCGTCGATATAGTGTATTACGCCACAAACGCTACGTGGATTTCTGTGGCTCGTGGAAGGTATGTAATACGAAGGTAAAATTCACAATCGCACAAGTCAGAAAACCACCATAACACATAGCACCATAACTCATAAGTTGTGTTGTGACCTTGGCTGGAAATACCGTCTCAAGGAACTGCGACTGGGCCACAAATATGGCAGCAAGAATATGATTAATATTATGCATGTAGTGGGAAGGCTTGAAAGGTCAAGAAAAGGTGAAAGAGAGCTTCAAATAATAAGTTGTAAGAGGATTTTCCCAGGTCAATACCGCGCGATAATCCTCGAACTATTCTGTCGTCTCTAGCGTTCACGATTGGGCTCGAGTCAAATTTTTCTGGAAAACATGACGAAAACCAGCGACGGACTTTCGGTGGAGGATCTCACCATGCCGAGCTAGCATGAGCATGACACAGTAGAGCGGGCGAGGTTCGCCAACATCTGAGTAACCCTGATTACTAATTTCAGCCGCGTTTGAGGCGTCTTAAAGCGAAAACTATCGCGGAACGTACTCGCTAGTTCTTTCGCGGACGGATGTTGCCATCCCTCACACTTTCTCCTCTCCTCTAAGGTGGAACGATCCGGAAGGAGACACAGACCACCTGCAAATCCTTCTCACCCTGCATGGTGCTAAGCATTCCGAGGCACATGCGACATTCGCATCCGGAGACCGTGCTGAACCGCCTAATATTCGCCCGAACTCGAGGCTGTTTAGTA